CAGGAGGACAACTCCTTGACCAGTTCATTACAAGAATTTCCACCACAGATATTTAAACACTTCAAAACAACATGCAGTACACTCATAAATGAAGAAATACTTTAAGATGTTTTGTGTCTTCTCTGACTCACCAGTCAAACTGTATCCATCACTACGAGGAGACAAAGAGTTGGCTTCACTTCCCAAACTATAATCACAGCTGGCATCATGTCCTTTAAGAAAAGGGAGATGTGTTAGAAAGTCATCGATTGTGAAAATAAACCGACAGAGCAGCCAATTCTTTTTATCCCTTTTCTTCCAGCTGGTTGTTGTTTGGACTGGATGATTATTTTCTCCAAAGTACAGGTTACATCTCGCATCATGATCAGCAGATCCAGGCAGAGTGCACATCAAGACAACCTGTTCACCGGGAAAATGTTGAACACTCATCTGTGGTTTTTGACCTAAAGAAACATATTGAATATTATTAAATACAAGGTCCTCATGTAATACTGTCACACCCTGTCGTTAAGTTTACATTTAACATTAAAGATTTTTGAAAATTATTTTCTACTTTGTCATAATGTGAGTAAAGTGTTAGTTACACTGTAATGACAGTTATTACTCATTACTGGCACACTGTTAACATCCTAAATGAGTTAAGCAGTCGCTCACTGTGTATGCTGATGAAGGACGTGTCACTGTGTGGAGATGGATGATTTGACCCTTCATAATTTACAGTGTAAAAACATTCCACTTGAACCTCAGCAGGTGAACTCTGCTGTGATATCAGCAGCAGCTCAGTTCCTGTCAGAGTCTTCAGACAAGGGAAGACTCTGACAGATTCTTTTTTCACGGTGCGAAAATAACAGTGAGACACCGAAACAGAGGGTGGAGTCTGACAGTGCAGAGTGACTGAGTCTGTCTCTGTGATCTCCGGTGAATTCACTTTCAGTGTCGGTGGAAGAAGAGCTGGAAATATACGTTTATATGTCAGATATACATTTAAAAAAATGAAATGTATGAATACATTTGAATGTATGCAGGCAGAATAATCAATCAAATATTCTCTTAAGACCTGACCCAACTAAGATACTAATTGTTGTTATTTGTATTATGGCAAAAAAAGTATGTATTGGTAAATAGTGTGTCATTGTCCAAGGGATCAATATTTAGTAGACATATATTATATGAAATACTGAATAATACAATTAATATGGTGATTATCCTAATGAGGAATTTGTATTTAATGTAAATAAACTGGGAAGATAAACTGTACAACCACACATTTGTAAAAATATTAACAGACTTCAATAAACTTCCCACACAGTGAAAACAGTCCAAGTGGACATTAAGAGGATACATCAGAGACTGACCTCGTGTTTGAATCTTGTGAAAGGAATCTGCCGGAAAATACATTGTTTTAAAAAGTTGAATCCACATAATAATAATAACTTATTAAAACATTTAAGAAAATATGAAGATAAAGATCAAGATAGACTTTTTTTTGAGGATCTTATTCTTAAGGTCTGCACCTCAGTTTCACGATGAGTTTACAGATAAAAACAGAGGCATGAAATAAACAACCATAAAAAGAACAGCAGGTAAACCATGCTACATCAAGTGTGGAACTAATGTGTAAAAGTCTACATTAATAATGAGGAACTCTCCTGAAGGTATAACTTACAGATGAGGATGACGAACAGCAGACGTCCAGCCATGATGAATCTCAATAAGACTTCTCAGATAGAAGAAGCTTGTGTCTCTGAGTATGTGAGCTTTGATGTAGTTCAGTGTCAGTTCACAGAACTTGCTCTCAGGAAAACCACAGATAGCATCACACATGAGACAAACAGGCCACAGAAACGCCCACACTGTGCATCTAGTTGTTTCACACGATTTATTAAATACGTAGAATATGTTATATATTTATATCAAGTCTACCAAAGTGTCAGCTAACAGTTTCAGAAGAAAATGAAAGAGTCTTTTCATCATGTGTTCACAAGCTGCTCACAACTTTACAGAAACATGTATCTTGTTCATGGTCTGCTTGAATCAAACATGAAGTTATTTTTTATTTTTGTCCTGAGCATACAACTCTGAAATCCGTATTTCACTTCATATTTCCAGTGTGTTGCTGCTCAGGCTGTGTTTTCTGTTCTAGTTGCTGTTGAAGTAAAGTCAAGGCCCCTATGTTTCCCATGGACTTTTTCACTCTACACATTCTCTCTCAGTTGAAATAAAACTAAAGCAAACGACTGATTCACGTATTGTCCCCCTGTAACCTCAACCCCTTAAGACCATTTATAAATTGTCTAATATTTTATAGATATAGTATTAAAGCTAAAATGTTGAACTTATTGATTAGGAGAAGGCTAACATGGATAGTTTCTATTTCATGTTTGTATAATCAGTGTTCTGTACATTAATATGTATATTTATTAGTACATAACAGCAGTTAACTACACAAATCCAAATTATGTTTACCCATCTCAAATCTCTCTGAGAAACACAATTCTTTAACTTCAAAATGCTTTTAAAATGCTGCACACGTTCTCTCTGTGGTCGGATGCGGCTGGTTCCTCTTGAGGCGCTGTGGTTAGCATTTGTCATTCTAGTAGGAAAGAAAAAAGACATGACACACACATTGGCACATATAAGCATTTTCTTGTATTATACAATGTCCTGCCTAATTGCCAAAATATCACAAAAATGTAATGAAACAACGTAAATTATTAATGTTTTTTTACACCCATTGCGTTCATACATACTGAAAAATTAATTAAAATATTAAAGCTGGTAGAAAGAAAAGCAGCTCACCGATTTTGCTGCATTCATAAGTCACGATGCTGTACGTCTCATCATAACCACTCGGTAAGTACTTTATCAGGAAGACAGGGGGAAGGTAAAGTGAGAGTTAGCAGCAGGATCACTGACTGAAAGTATACAGAAGTGTTGAGTTACCTCTCCACTGCTGAGTTTCCCCATATATCCACTGGCTTCTATAACACAAAACGTACAATTAAAAATACCTGATCACCCTGATCCTCCGCCTGGATTCTTTACAACACAAAGAGCAGGGAGGACAAATGCTTTAGTGCGCACAAACATCAAGTTCTCACCGGTTGTTCTTTTGGTAAATAGAAATGCCAGTCCCAGTACGATAACACCTCCAAGAGAAGAAGCAACTATTACCAACTTCCATGTCCATGTTTCTGTGTGAGGTCAGAAACAAGTCAGTTTCACTTCGTACACAAAAGCAAGAAGACTGTGAGTACCTATGTACCAGTAAAGGGCACACTACACTGAAACTGAAACAATAAAACATTTAGAGAAAATGAATCTTGGCATTTTTGATGGACTTGTAAAAAATAACTATAAAAGCCAGTGTATCTTGATCCAATAGTACCTAATGAATGAAGAAAGATTTACATTTGAATTAAGTCAAAAATACTGAAATATAAAAGAATATTAAAATGATTTGTGATTTGTTAAAGTTAAAGTTAATATATCTTTAATTGTGTAACCTGATGTTTGTTCAGAAGGAGTTTCACGAGTGGAGGAATGAAGCCTGCTCACAGTCATACCTGGAGAAAAAACAACAACTATAAACAACAACAAACATAGTAAGTCAATCGTGATCATTTCTGGATTTCTATTCAAATGTAAAGCATGTCCTGCCTGTGGTCACAGTAGATGTCAACATAGTCTTTTTCAAGCGTGTTTCCTTTTCCACGATATCTAAAACAAAAGATGGATTTGGATCTGTCAGCTTCGTGTGCAGAAAACTTACATTTGTGCAATCACTTGAGAATAAGAAGAAAAATATTTTTGGTTTATTAACAGTCAAATATGGCAACTAAATAAATGTGGTGCATAAACACACAAACACATTTCTTTATAGAAGTGTTATGTAAGGATGTTCTGGATTGTTATTCAGATAGATATTAACTCTTACCTGGGGGGGTAGTAAAAGCTGATATTTTGGAGCGCTCCTTTTCCACAATATCTGCAGGAAAGGAAACAGATTTGGGCCTGTCATTTTCATGTGTACAATAAAAAAACATCATTACTCTTATTTGTGCAATGACTTAAACACAGAGCTGTTCCAAAAATATTAAACCAGAGAACAATGTATGTGCTCTAAGAGATGTTGGATGATTTACCAATTTGGTCCACACTGAAATATTTTGCAATTACATTTTGTAGACAATCATAGTGCCCAGATGATAAATCCAAATGACTTAATGATCCCACTAAAAGAATGTTCCACCATTAGGTTAACATTGTTAAGTTACAGTGACTTTTATTGAAAACTATTAGAGTATTTCTGTATGCTGTGAGCCTCTTTTGCAAAAGAGTATTAAAGACTCAGGAGGGCAACTCCTTGACCAGTTCATTACAAGAATTTTCACCACAGATATTTAAACACTGTACACAAAAGTACACTCATAAATGAAGAAATACTTTAAGATGTTTTGTGTCTTCTCTGACTCACCAGTCAAGCTGTATCCATCGCTACGAGGAGACAAAGAGTTGGCTTCACTTCCCAAACTATAATCACAGCTGGCATCATGTCCTTTAAGAAAATGTAAACGTCTTAGAAAGTCATCGATTGTGAAAGTAAACCAACAGAGCAGCCGATTCTTTGAATCCCTTTTCTTCCAGCTGGTTGCTGTTTGGACTGGATGATTATTTTCTCCAAAGTACAGGTTACATCTCGCATCATGATCAGCAGATCCAGGCAGAGTGCACATCAAGAGAACCTGTTCACCAGGAAAATGCTGAACAGTCATCTGTGGTTTTTGACCTAAAGAAACATATTGAATATTATTAAATACAATGTCCTCATGTAATACTGTCACATCCTGTCATTAAGTTTACATTTAACATTAAAGATTTTTGAAAATTATTTTCTACTTTGTCATAATGTGAGTAAAGTGTTAGTTACACTGTAATGACAGTTATTACTCATTACTGGCACACTGTTAACATCCTAAATGAGTTAAGCAGTCGCTCACTGTGTATGGTGATGAAGGACGTGTCACTGTGTGGAGATGGATGATTTGGCCCTTCATATTTTACAGTGTAAAAACATTTCACTTGAACCTCAGCAGGTGAACTCTGCTCTGATATCAGCAGCAGCTCAGTTCCTGTCAGAGTCTTCAGACAAGAGAAAACTCTGACAGATTCTTTTTTCACGGTGCGAAAATAACAGTGAGACACAGAAACAGAGGGTGGAGTCTGACAGTGCAGAGTGACTGAGTCTGTCTCTGTGATCTCCGGTGAATTCACTTTCAGTGTCGGTGGAAGAAGAGCTGGAAATATACGTTTATATATCGGATATACATTTAAAAAAATGAAATGTATGAATACATTTGAATGTATGCAGGCAGAATAATCAATCAAATATTCTCTTAAGACCTGACCCAATTTAACTAAGATACTCATTTGTGTTATTTGTATTATGGCAAAAAAAGTATGTATTGGTAAATAGTGTGTCATTGTCCAAGGGATCAATATTTAGTAGACATATATTATATGAAATACTGAATAATACAATTAATATGGTGATTATCCTAATGAGGAATTTTGATTTAATGTAAATAAACTGGGAAGATAAACTGTACAACCACACATTTGTAAACATATGAACAGACTTTAACAAACTTCCCACACAGTGAAAACAGTCCAAGTGGACATTAAGAGGATACATCAGAGACTGACCTTGTGTTTGAATCTTGTGAAAGGAATCTGCCGGAAAATACAATGTTTGAACAAGGTCAACCAACATAATAATAATAACGTATTAATATCTTTAAGAAAATATGAAGATAAAGATCAAGATATCTTTTTTTTTGAGGATCTTATTCTTAAGGTCTGCACCTCAGTTTCACGATGAGTTTACAGATAAAAACAGAGGCATGAAATAAACAACCATAAAAGAACAGAAGTTAAAACACGCTACATCAAGTTTAAACCTACATTAGTTTGACAAAGTCTACATTAATAATGAGGAACTCTCCTGAAGGTATAACTTACAGATGAGGATGACGAACAGCAGACGTCCAGCCATGATGAAGCTCAATAAGACTTCTCAGATAGAAGAAGCTTGTGTCTCTGAGTATGTGAACTTTGATGTACTTCAGTTTCAGTTCACAGAACTTGCTCTCAGGAAAACCACAGATAGCATTAAACATGAGACAAACAGGCCACAGAAACGCCCACACTGTGCATCTAGTTGTTTCACACAATTTATTAAAAACATAGAATATGTTATGTATTTATATCAAGTCTACCAAAGTGTCAGCTAACAGTTTCAGAAGCAAATGAAAGAGTCTTTTCATCATGTGTTCACAAGCTGCTCAAAACTTTACAGAAACATTGATCTTGTTCATGGTCTCCTTGAAGTTTTTTTTGTTTTTTTGTGTCCGTAACATACAACTCTGCAATCCGTATTTCACTTCATATTTCCAGTGTGTTGCTGCTCAGGCTGTGTTTTCTGTTCTAGTTGGTGTTGAAGTAAAGTCAAGGCCCCCACGTTTCCCATGGACTTTTTTACTCTACACATTCTCTCTCAGTTGGAATAAAACTAAAACAAACAACTGATTAACGTATTGTCCCCCTGTAACCTCAACCCCTTAAAACCATTTATAAAAATTGTAATATGTTATAGATATTAAAGCTAAAATGTTGAACTTATTGATTAGGGGAAGGCTAACATGGATGTGCTTCCAGTTTCTATTTCATGTTTGTATAATCAGTGTTCTGTACATTAATATGTATATTTATTAGTATATAACAACAGTTAACTGCACAAATCCAAATTATGTTTACCCATCTCAAATCTCTCTGAGAAACACAATTCTTTAACTTCAAAATGCTTTTCAAATGCTGCACACGTTCTCTCTGTGGTCTGATGCAGCTGGTTCCTCTTGAGGCGCTGTGGTTAGCATTTGTCATTCTAGTATGAAAGAAAAAAGACATGACACCAAATTGGGACATTGAAGCATTTTCTTGTATTATACAATGTCCTGCCTAATTGACAAAATATAAAATAATGTAATGAAACTACGTAAATTATCTATGTTATTTTACCCATTGCGTTCATACATACTGAAAAATAAATTAAAATATTAAAGCTGGTAGAAAGAAAAGCAGCTCTATTGGGGAATCTTATGTGTTTTGTGATGTTTGTGCTGGAGCCGCTTTATCCAAAACAGCACTCCGGTTAGAGAGTTGACACGGAGACAGGAAGTACAGTCGTTGGACTTTATATTAGCTTGGTTCTGATCATCAACACAGAATACATCATGCTTGATGTGGAATCACATACAGGATGTTGAATGGGTTGATGTTAATGATAACGTAGAGTAGAGAATGAATGAATGTGGTTTATTCTTCACGAACGCATTCTCTCTGTGACGATGGTAATTATGCATGTGACGATGCGACCGCAATAATGTCCTGTCATGAACGCACATGTGTAACCAGCTCGAGGACCAGTAGCTGCACTACTTTAGCTGTCCCTAAATGTGCCTGACTAAAACACGAACGATATAACGCAGATCAAGGAAAACAAGGGGAATTTACAACAAGCTCACCGATGTTCCTGCGTTCATAAGTCACGATGCTGTACGTCTCATCATAACCACTCTGTAAGCACTTCATCAGGAAGACAGAGGGAAGGTAAAGTGAGAGTTAGCAGCAGGATCACTGACTGAATGTATACAGAAGTGTTGAATTACCTCTCCACTGCTGAGTTTTCCCATACATCCACTGGCTTCTATAACACAAAACGTACAATTAAAAATACCTAATCACCCTGATCCTCCGCCTGGATTCTTTACAACACAAAGAGCAGGGAGGACAAATGCTTTAGTGCGCACACAAATCAAGTTCTCACCAGTTGTTCTTTTGGTAAATAGAAATGCCAGTCCCAGTACGATAACACCTCCAAGAGAAGCCGCAACTATTACCAACTTCCATGTCCATGTTTCTGTGTGAGGTCAGAAACAAGTGTCAGTTTCACTTTCAACACAAAAGCAAGAAGACTGTGTGTACCTATGTATGTACCAGTAAAGGGCACACTGAATATAAAACATGAAGGACAGCGTATTGCTTTGAAACTGATGTAAATTAACTACTTGAGTACAGTTGAGAAGATGATACATTATTGAATTATAGATAATAATGAAGCAAAATTGTTTTACTGTGACACTGCAGAGCAATACTCACTGCTCAAACCCAGAAGAAACATGTAATATGAGCCCACTGTAGATTAGGAGGTAACCCTTTTTAACGTTAATATAATTACATATTATTCACACAAAGGACAGCTCTAACTAATTTGCTGCATACATGTAATATGACAATTTGCTATAGGGAAGAGAATAGTACTAACATAAATATCATTTTATTTATATTTCTAAATAAGTAATAGATGCTTTTGATCACCTGATGATGGGGTCTCTGGGGTCACAGGTTGGGAAATAGCTTTAGTGCTAGACGTATAAGGATTCTGACCTATTGTAATAAAGAAAAAGTCAGAAACCTTAAAACATTTAGAGAAAACGCATGTTGGCTTTTTTGATGGACTTACAAAGAAGCCGGTTTGAATAATTAGGAAACAGAGGATTTGTGTTACCTTGTGTTGGTTTCACTGGTGTTCTGGAGATAAAGCTACCCGTGTTTCTTGATCCAACAGTAACACCTAGTAAATTAAGAAACATTATTTTTAAATAATGTAAAATATACTCACATATAAAATGATATAAAAATGATTTGTGATTTGTTAAAGTCACATTTAATATATCTCTAATTGTGTTACCAGATGTTTGTTGAGAAGGAGTTTCACGAGTGGAGGAATGAAGCCTGCTCACAGTCAAACCTGGAGAAAAAACAACTATAAACAACAACAAATATAGTAAGTAGTAAGTAACCTTTTAACCTTTTTTTTTAAACTCAGCTCCCTAGTTTTTTATGTATTTTATAAAAGAGATTTATTAAATAAGTTTCTTAGATAACTTTTTTCTCACCGACTTGTGAAGCACCTTGAGATAACGCTGTTTTTAAAGTGTGATATTCAACTAAAATGAATTGATTTGATCATTTCTGGATTTCTATTAAAATGTAAAGCATGTCCGTCCTGTGGTCATAGTAGATGTCAACATAGTCTTTGTCAAGCGTGTGTCCTTTTCCACGATATCTAAAACAAAAGAAGATGGATTTGGATCTGTCTGCTTCATGTGCAGAAAACTTATATTTGTGCAATTTTTTGAGCAAAAGAAGAAACATGTGTTTAGTTTGTTAACAGTCAAATATGGTAACTAAATAAATGTGGAGTATTAACACACAAACACATTTTTTTGTATGTCTTTTGTAAGTAGGTTCTGGATGTTATCAGATAGATATGAACTCTTACCTGGGGGGGTAGTAAAAGCTGATATTTTGGAGGGCTCTTTTTCCACAATATCTGCAGGAAAGGAAACAGACTTGGGCCTGTCATTTTTGTGTGTACAATAAAAAACATTATTTCTGTTATTTGTGCAATGACTTAAACACAGAGCTGTTCCAAAAATATTAAACCAGAGAACAATGTATGTGCTCTGCGAGATGTTGGATGATTTACCAATTTGGTCCACACTGAAATATTTTGCAATTACATTTTGTACAAACAATCATAGTCCCCAGATGATAAATCCAAATGACTTAATGATCCCACTAAAAGAATGTTCCACCATTAGGTTAACATTGTTAAGTTACAGTGACTTTTATTGAAAACTATTACAGTATTTCTGTATGCTGTGAGCCTCTTTAGCAAAAGATTATTAAAGACTCAGGAGGACAACTCCTTGACTAGTTCATTACAAGAATTTCCACCACAGATATTTAAACACTTCAAACAACATGCAGTACACTCATGAATGAAGAAATACTTTAAGATGTTTTGTGTCTTCTCTGACTCACCAGTCAAGCTGTATCCATCGCTACGAGGAGACAAAGAGTTGGCTTCACTTCCCAAACTATAATCACAGCTGGCATCATGTCCTTTAAGAAAATGTAAACGTCTTAGAAAGTCATCGATTGTGAAAATAAACCGACAGAGCAGCCGATTCTTTTTATCCCTTTTCTTCCAGCTGGTTGCTGTTTGGACTGGATGATTATTTTCTCCAAAGTACAGGTTACATCTCGCATCATGATCAGCAGATCCAGGCAGAGTGCACATCAAGAGAACGTATTCACCAGGAAAATGTTGAACACTCATCTGTGGTTTTTGACCTAAAGAAACATATTGAATATTATTAAATACAAGGTCCTCATGTAATACTGTCACACCCTGTCATTAAGTTTTACATTTAACATTAAAGATTTTTGAAAATTATTTTCTACTTTGTCATAATGTGAGTAAAGTGTTAGTTACACTGTAATGACAGTTATTACTCATTACTGGCACACTGTTAACATCCTAAAGGAGTAAAGCAGTCACTCACTGTGTATGCTGATGGAGGACGTGTCACTGTGTGGAGATGGATGATTTGACCCTTCATATTTTACAATGTAATAACATTTCACTTGAACCTCAGCAGGTGAACTCTGCTGTGACATCAGCAGCAGCTCAGTTCCTGTCAGAGTCTTCAGACAAGGGAAGACTCTGAGAGATTCTTTTTTCACGGTGTAGAAATAACAGTGAGACACAGAAACAGAGGGTGGAGTCTGACAGTGCAGAGTGACTGAGTCTGTCTCTGTGATCTCCGGTGAATTCACTTTCAGTGTCGGTGGAAGAAGAGCTGGAAATATACGTTTATATGTCAGATATACATTTAAAAAAAGGAAATGTATGAATACATTTGAATATATGCAGGCAGAATAATCAATCAAATATTCTCTTAAGACCTGACCCAATTTAACTAAGATACTAATTTTTGTTATTTGTATTATGACAAAAAAAGAATGTATTGGTAAATAGTGTGTCATTGTCCAAGGGATCAATATTTAGTAGACATATATTATATGAAATACTGAATAATACAATTAATATGGTGATTATCCTGATGAGGAATTTTGATTTAATGTAAAGAAACTGGGAAGATAAACTGTACAACCACACATTTGTAAAAATATTAACAGACTTCAATAAACTTCCCACACAGTGAAAACAGCCCAAGTGGACATTAAGAGGATATATCAGAGACTGACCTTGTGTTTGAATCTTGTGAAAGGAATCTGCCGGAAAATACATTGTTTTAAAAAGTTGAATCCACATAATAATAATAACTTATTAATACATTTAAGAAAATATGAAGATAAAGATCAAGATAGACTATATTTTTAAGGTCTGCACCACAGTTTCACGATGAGTTTACAGATAAAACCAGAATTAAAAACAGAGGCATGAAATAAACAACCATAAAAAGAACAGAAGGTAAACCACGCTACATCAAGTGTGGAACTAATGTGTAAAAGTCTACATTAATAATGAAGAACTCTCCTGAAGGTATAACTTACAGATGAGGATGACGAACAGCAGACGTCCAGCCATGATGAAGCTCAATAAGACTTCTCAGATAGAAGAAGCTTGTGTCTCTGAGTATGTGAGCTTTGATGTACTTCGGTGTCAGTTCACATAACTTGCTCTCAAGAAAACCACAGCTAGCATCACACATGAGACAAACAGGCCACAGAAACGCCCACACTGTGCATCTAGTTGTTTCACACGATTTATTAAAAACGTAGAACATGTTATATATTTATTTCAAGTCTACCAAAGTGTCAGCTAACAGTTTCAGAAGCAAATGAAAGAGTCTGTTCATCATGTGTTCACAAGCTACTCACATTTAGCTTGTTCATGGTCTGCTTGAATCGAACATGAAGTAATTTTTTAACACTGAAATCTGCATTTCACTTCATATTCCCAGAATTTTGCTGCAGAGGCTTTTTTGTTCTTGTTCTGTTATTAAAGTGAAGCCCCCACATTCCCCATGGACACCTCTAATCCTTCAGCTTCGGGAGAATTAAACTAAAACACACAACTGGCCGTCCACCTGGACCCATAAGAAGCTAATACATTAAATAACATGTTACACTAAATTAGCAGAGGGACTTTTTTTTTAATTGCAATTCGGCAGCTGGTTCCTCTTGAGGCGCTGTGGTAAGCGTTTGTCATTCTAGTAGGAAAGAAAAAAGACATGACACACACATTGGCTCATTTAAGTCTTTTCTTGTATTTCAAAATGTCTGTCCCGCCTAATTGCCGAAATATCAAATAATGTAATGAAACAATTTAAGTTATTTGTTGATATTCTATCTACACCGATTGTGTTCATACATACTGAAAATTAAATGAAATCATGTGTATACAACATGCTAGAGAAAATATTAAAGCTGGTAGAAAGAAAAGCAGCTCACCGATGTTCCTGCGTTCATAAGTCACGATGCTGTACGTCTCATCATAACCACTCGGTAAGTACTTTATCAGGAAGACAGGGGGAAGGTAAAGTGAGAGTTAGCAGCAGGATCACTGACTGAATGTATACAGAAGTGTTGAGTTACCTCTCCACTGCTGAGTTTTCCCATATATCCACTGGCATCTATAACACAAAAAGCGCAATTGAATAAACTATAGCACAAAATATAAAGTGAATGGAAACATAAATTACACGTTTATCTGCTTGTATTACATACATTTAGTTTTTCCGGGAATGCTGGTTTTGGAGCTAAAATAGGGGAAAAAAATACTATTTCTTCATTACAAAGGAAAGCAGAATACATAGTTCATTTGAAGAAAGAGTGTTATTTTCATAAGAATATATATAGTTCTTCAAATTGTCCAACATCTTTTCCTTTCTTACATCCAAATAGCTCGGTAATCTCTAATCTGCAGCTGTTTGCCAGAAGAGGGCTACAATTGTTCGGGCAACTGCTGAAATGACTGTCTGAAACTATGAAAATAATGTGTGTGATAATGACGAGGTTATTATATCACTCAGAATTGGCCAGGGAATATTTGGGTTGAAATATGTCTTACCTTAAGTGAACACATTTTCCTGGAAAATGCAGAAAGAAAAACAAATGATAGTCCGTAATAATTTATCTTGGGGAAACAATGCTGTGAAAGTGGTCACACCTGGTAAAGGAGCGGCTGTTTAGTGCTTTTACCACTTCTGTGTTGGCGTGTGTGTGTGTGTGTGTGTGTGTGTGTGTGTGTGTGTGTGTGTGTGTGTGTGTGTGTGTGTGTGTGTGTGTGTGTGTGTGTGTGTGTGTGTGTGTGTGTGTGTGTGTGTGTGTGTGTGTGTGTGTGTGTGTGTGTGTGTGTGTGTGTGTGTGTGTGTGTGTCTTTTTCACAGTTTGAATGCAAGACTTTACCAACATTTGTTTTACCTATAAACATGATTATTGCTTTTAGGTCATTAGATGAACTCCCTTTAGGTTAATAGATTCTTACCGGTCCTTTTTGTGGAAAAAAGAATTGCAGATCCCAGCAAGATGACACCCACAGATACTCCGCAACCTGTCACAACTACTACCGCGTTCCATATACCTGTGTGTCTGAGAGACAGACAGAGAACAGACCATCAACGAGTGTCAGACTGGTGGTGGGGGGATGTAAGAAACACATGCTCCTTATGATACAGTTAAAATAATTCCCTTATAAGAATGAAAAAGATCAGGAGAATTATAGCACTGTGTCTTTTTTCTCAAGCGCTGTAAAACAGGAAAAACTCAAAGCTAAAAATGAAAAGGCTTCGTCATCTGGACATCATGCATGTGCTTGGCAAAGGTAATGAGAATCTCACTATTATCGGTTTAAATGCTCTTGGTGTTGATAGACAATACTCCAACCTGTTTCATAATGACATAAATAAAGAACAAAAAACACATGTCATGGAGATACTTACACATCAGCTGGAGTTTCAGGAGGTAAACGAGTGTAAGCACCAGTGAGATCTAACAAGCCAGGGAAAATGTATGTTTTTATTTCTTTGTTTATCACAAGACTTTAGATGCTCAGTAGACATAAAGCGTAGCCTACCTGCGGTCTCTGTGGTCGTCTCCATTGTACTTGCGATGGTGACACCTGCTCTGCCTCCCCCTTCAGCCATGCTTGATTTGCTTTGAAAAAGATCTGCAGAAAGATGGATGAATGCATGCATGTCTAAAACGATATTTACTTTTACAAAACTGTGTTGAAAAGCAGAAAAATGTATTATTATTTGGTATAGTGAGTAATGAGTCCTAGCACAATGTTTGAATAGCATGCCTGTTTTTTTTCATCTTATTTAAGTCCACTAAGTGTGGAATTCTACGTAATAATAACATCCTTCAAATAACTCTCCAGGAAAACGTTTTGTTTTTAGAAAAATAAGACAGTCCCATAAAAAAATGTATGCCCGGCCTGCACCAGTTCCATCAGCCTTTCTTTTTTCATGTGGCTGGAGCTGTGGGGAAATTCCCCTCTGCCACAGTGTATTCTCTGATACTACCACTGGGGAGCACCAAAGTGTAATACTTTTTAAAGTCTATGAAGTGAACTTTAAAAATATATAAATTGCTGTGAGGGATTTTGTCTGGTCATCAGGGTCAGTGTCAGTGCTTCCAGCAGCCCAGAGGTTTCAAAATTCCTCGAAACCCTGCGTATTAATTATAATTAAAGTAGTTGTTCAAAGTAAAACCTGTCTGTCAGGGCAATGACATTAATGTTTGCAATTGGATGCTTTCAGCTCAATAAATAGATGCAGCACAAAACATACAAATAAATAGTAAAGCTGTACTTAGGTAAAGAGAATAAAATAGATCCGTTACCACATTCCTATGAAACGAAGTTTAATTATTTAAATATGATATCAAAACTGTTACAATCATGAGCACCAGCTGAGTGCTTTCCCAAAAAACAGAATTGACCAACATATCTGTTTGTAACTTTTATAAACAAATGTTGTTTTGGATACTTGTTTTTATTTGCATATAGATGATGATAATACAAAAAAGCAAACTGTGCACCCAAAATATGTGCAAAATGAGTTAAATCCCTAGCATATTAAACACATTTCTCATAAGGTGATAACCATGAAAAAATGTAAGATATTAGGCACTGATCTTGTTAATCTCATGAAAGAAATGTGTTTGCAACACTTAAACTTAAAACACAAAAAAGCCAATCAATAACTTTAAACTAACAACAAAATGTCTACAATTATACAATAAAACATATTGCCAACATTTTTAATTAATTTGATGCGTGAAGTAAGAAAGTATACACATATATTAGAGGTTAAACTCACACATGAGGATGACCAGCAGCACATATCCAACCATGATGAAGATGAATACTAAGAGTATTCAGATATCCTCCAGCAGTGCCTGTCTGATTGAGACAGTCTCGTTTTGATAAACCTGCTTAAAACCACAGCCAGCATCAGACTTGAATATAAGACAAGCCACAGAAACACTAACGGTATACTTGACATCGCCTACATGTTGTATATTTAGATCAACAGAGTGGTGGCTTCCTGAGAAAACAGAAATAACCTCTTTTATGGGTTTTGTATGTACAAGTCGAGTACGACCTTATTAAGAATTAGGACTAGGAGGCCACAAGAGTAAGTGAGAAAGAGACATGTGATAAATAAAACAGACAGGTCATAGGTCCATTAGGTTTTTGGACAATAGCCAGTATACTGTATGTATTTCCTTGTTGTGAAGAGAAGTTATAACATAATATAAAAAGATGAAAATAATGTGATTGTTGAATCAGCAGTATTGTATATGTGAACAAGATTGAACACATGACCCATATACTATAAGTGACAGTGGGTGTCAAAGTATGTGACTGTCAGTGAAATGTTTTTGAGCGATGTTGTACAAAATAATCCAACATGTAGGCCGACTTCAGTTAGTATTGTTACACTGTTTAACATTGCTTTGACAAAGCAACTGAATGTAGGTCAACTATTTCTACATTTAGTTAAAAGTACCTATACAGACCACCCCCTTCAGCATCAGGCTGTTATACTCAGGGCCTGCGATCTCTTTTTATACACTGTTTTTAATATAGTTAGGCTGTTGCAAGGCTGCACGGGTTTGATGAGAACTGTATCTACATTCGGTTTATAAGACTGGCCACACAAGAAGATCGAGTCAACTACAAAAGGCTACACAAATACCCCTATAGAAACCACATGTATCAGCTGCTTATGTTATTTAACAAGAAAATAAAACCGCATACAACAAGATACTGAAGGGTTTGGTTTGTGCATCTAATGGCTGGATATTTTTAACCCATCACGTTATTTTGTATTTTTTTGAAGACATTTGGACCTTGTATGATAGCAGCATTTCTCTAAAGTAGCCTGATATTAAAAGTGACTTTCACGAGTCAATCCAAATGCATGCCTCACTGAAGTGGAGGAATCATTTCGCCACGGTCCCTGCAGGCGTATCGTAAAAACCCTAATGAATCGCACCTGTTACTGATGGGACTCACCTGGCCTCATTTCACCGGAAGTAGCTCAGCTGCATAAAGACGGAGACGTGCTGGACGGGCAGGTGTAGCATACTTTTAGAACTCACGTCACTCACGCGCTGATTTTTATTGTCTTGATTTTCTTTTTTATTGAATTCTCAGTTATGCCTCCTAAAAAGACAGCAGCAGGCTCTGCTGATCCTGCGCCTTCCTCCAGTGGTGCACCGGACAACAAGAACGTTTCAGGTCTCCTCGTTTTTCATTTAAACTATGTGACACAGAAGTTTGCATAAATGTTTATATTCTAAATGGTATGTGTGCACGTTTGTTTTCTAGTCGCTGCGACGCTGCGCAAACTTGCAGCTCATCCATCCACAGCGATCATGGTGAAAGAAGCACTTACAGAGTTGGACTCGCGTAAAGGGGTTTCGTCCCATGCGATACAAAGTTATATTAAAGAAAAATACCAGTCAGTGGACATGGTAAGGTTGAAGCACTTTGTCCGCAGAGCCCTGAAAAAAGGACTCGAGACTGGCACGTTGGTGCGGCCTGCCAACTCCAATGTCGCTGCAGGCCTATCGGGAAGATTTAGGGTAAGATGTCCAGTGTACAACTTCATCGAAGAGGGTGAAATAACGTCATTAATCGGGACTGTCTTGAATGCAGATTGCACCGAAAACCAAAGAGGCAAAGCAAAAGGCTGAGAATGAGGATCCTAATGTGACAAAAGCGGCCAAAGCAGCTAAGGATGGAGCCAAGAAGCCTAAAAAAGCAGGTATGAATACAACTGGAAAAGGACACACTATTTGTCCTCTTAAAACTGGTATAGCTCTTAATAGTTTAACTTGTTAAAGGTGCCACGAAGAAGAAGAAAGACTCTGCCAATGAAGAAGCGTCGTCAAACGATGAGGTGAGGCAATGTTTTCTGTTCTGAAACAGAATATAAAGTTCAACTATATTTTGGGAAATTTCGTCTTTGCTCACTGTTTTTTTTTCCTCAAGAAAGGTAAACACTTTTTATGAGACTTTATTCCTGATTGCCTCAGAGTTATATTCTCATCAATCATTTAGAGGAAAACTTAAAAAGGGTGGAAAAAAATTAATTCTCATTTAACCTTTTCTGACATGGGTTCACTAAGCATGCATGTTCAGTAGAAATGTATAATTAACTGAACATATCCAAATTAAATAATTTCAACATGTATTCACAATTTCTTGGATATAAGATTATACAATTAATGCTTCAGTTGTGTCTGACATTTTTCATTACCCACTTTTAGGAGTCCAAGCCTGCCAAAAAGTCCAAGAAGGAAAAAGAGGCTGCTATTGAGGTACCTGCTGAAACTACATCCAAGGCTGCTCCCGCAAAGAAGCCAAAAGCTAAAAAAGCTCTAGAGAAGGTGGATGAGGAGGCCGATGACGCTTTTGATTCGGCAAAGGCTACTAAAAAGCCCGCCAAGGAACCGAAAACTGCCAAGGAACCGAAGGCTGCCAAGGAACCGAAGGCTGCCAAGGAACCGAAGGCTGCCAAGGAACCGAAGGCCGCCAAGGAAACGAAGGCCGCCAAGGAAACTAAGGCCGCCAAGGAAACTAAGGCCGCCAAGGAAACTAAGGCCGCCAAGGAGAAAAAGGCAGGGAAGGTGTCTGAGGATGCTAAGGCAGGCAGTGACGCTCCTGCTGCTAGGGCAACTGGGAAACGAGGAAAGAAGACTGCAGAGTAAATTATTAAATAATTGATGTGTTATACTGATTGTTTTTGCAATAAAATCTTATTTTTTGATTTAGTTGTAATTTCTAAATTCTCTGCATTTGAAGCACGCCGTCTCATTTTGCTTATGTAAGGGTATACTGGAGCTTTAAGTAGAACTAGTGTTTGCTTCAAACGTATCCTTCAATGACAGCAGCACATATTACAGGTGCTGAGCAGCCAAGTTATTTTACAACCCAGAATCCTGTAGTGACAAAGAGGACTTAATATTGGGCTTTAAAACTCGAAACACAATCTACTCAGGGACACTAAATATTTATTAGACTTTGTGTGTTGCACCCATAGACTGTATATATAAAGGTTGCACCTGAGACAAGTGACCTTATAATGCTCAAGTAGCCTATAGTTTTCATTATATTCCTGAAAAGATGCCAAGGTAATGCTTAAGTTGATACGTTTTATTTTACCCTCTTTTCAGGGAGTGCAGAAAAAGTATTTTGGATAGTCTAAAATGGCATTCCAGTGCCTCAACAGCAAGGCAAAAAAGACTACAAAAAGCATCATGAAAAGCGTCCGGCTGCATGTTCTCATCAAGGCGATAATACAGTTGGCCACTGTGGACACAAAGACCAAAATGGCTGCCATAACAGCCAGCAGCACATTGATTAATTTTCCAAGGACAGTCCGTGCTGTGACATTCTCCAAACCATCAAGCTGTCCCGCCTGCAGTTGCTGCTGCTCCACCTTGAACAGATGAGTCAGGCAGGCCTCCAGAGATTCCTACAGGGGAGAGACCAAACTGAGTGAAGGAGCTCTAATGATTAATCAAAGAAGTTGGAAATACAGCACTGATTGTTTTATCAATGGATCCTTTCCATTCACTCTAATTTGACTTGTGATAGCGAGGACAAAAATAACCTGCAACAGAACCCCAGGGCAAAAAGTCCCTGGCTGTCATTCCTGTCAGTAACTCATTACCTAATTTTTTTGTTTTTCAACACTGCTGTGTGGTAAAACTCCTAAACACTTTAATTTAGTAATATTGAACATTACAAATATGTATATAAGTACTAAAGCTAAGTATTTACACAGTTACCCTCTCAAGACAGAGCCTCAAGATTCTGTAATTATGCCAAACCCACAGAAATCTGTTAGTGGTGCATTTTCCTGAGCACATTTTAAACAACACTACCTGGCTTGCCTACGTTCCCCTCTTACTGTAAACCATTGGTCCCAGCAGGAAAAGCACAGCTAGTATGTGTTGTAAGCAATAAGATACATTATTGATACTGGCTTATCGCAATGCAACACAGACATTATATTAATGACACCTGTGCTTTTCTTGCTATACATTAAAAATGTCTGCTGTGAAAAACACTTTTGTTTGTTAAGCTTACATGAATATCTGTTGCTTCTTTGTTAGACTGAAAGTCAGACCTCTCCCCCATGCTTGCTAGTTGATCTTTGAAGTTCAAAATTTCCTTCTGGTGCAGTTCTATCAAGTCATAGAGCCGTTCTTCTAAACGGTCATTCCTGCAAAAAAGTAATGGCAACAATATGAAACAAACAGGGGATAGGTTTAGCTCACAGTACTATATCAAACATGTACAGTACCTGTATCTCTCCTCTTGTAGGGCCTCCCCAATTTCAGTGTATTCTTTTTGGTGGTAGTTTTTTAAGATTTCAAAGCTTTCCTCAAGTTGGCCTTTGTTTTCCCGGAGCTCCTGGATCTCCTGGAGTATATTATCAAAGTCTGAGGCCTGGGCATGGTCAGGAATATTTTCCCTGGAGCTAGAGGGTACTTCATCGGCTCCTGAGTCTGATGTAGCAGAACAGCCATCATCAGTGCCATGATTCAGGCTGGACTGTCCTGTTTTAAGGATACTCATTCCCCCAGGGCCAACACCCTCATCTCCCGGGGTTTCATCCAAGTTTTTCAGGGCTGCAATATTATCAGTGCTGCCCAACTTTTGAAGACATGGGAGGAGATTTGTCTCAGCTTGGACAGCACAGCTCCAACTGAAGAGCAAGTATAAACTGGAGAGATGTGTTGTCCTGTAATTGGCAAAATCAGATTAGTAAGCAACTCCTCAGGCAACTTAACCACTTTTCCTTTGTTTGAGCATGCAAAAAGCCATATTGTCTTTTCATATTACAATAGCATAGTCAGATTTTTTCTATAAAGCTAGAATTTGATGAGACCCTGGTTTGAGTATGATCCTGACCCCTTAATCCAGTGAATCCATCATAACTGGATTGTTGTTATTAAATACAATATATTAACATGGGACTTTTTAACGCATTACAGCCTTTCAAACAATGCCTGTGTAGCAACACAAATAGTGGAACGCACACAATTAATGGTCTTTCAGGCCCTAGAGTGCACGTATTGGCCTAAGGAATCCTTTTTATCGCTATATATGCATCTGTAAAATGCCATTACTATCAGCTAAATTGAGATGGAGACAGATAATTAAAAGACAACCCAAAAATAATTAGACTAACATCTGCATGGTTACATACGTATAGGGCCAGAGGATAAGTTATTTGTTTTGTGGGTCAGCTGGGTTAAATTAAGTTATATTGCTTACCTTCTTGAAACGTCAAGACTTCCAACCAGTCTGGCCAAATGTAACGTTAGCTTAGCTAGCTTAGCCAATTGGGATCAATCAGCTGTTTTGACTTGGCTGGTTTGAACATGCTCGGCATTCAGACTAACCATTGCGTGCAAAATGATAATGTGTGTAAAAGTTAGTTAAACAACTAAAAAACAGTACGAATGTTTTCAGATAAACTACTCTGTTAGCAGTTTAACTAACGTACGCTAACGTCCCGTCCACTGCTGACAGATGTGCAGGTTGCTTAGCAACGATTTTCGTACTCAGAGAAAGTCGTCGTCTTATCAAAATGCTAATTTAAATCAATGTGGTACTGAAAATACGCCTGACCCTACTATTGCAAAACATACTTTTTTTGTTTGTTCACTGTAAGCTTTGTAGCAAAAGGTCTGCCAGCAAAATACTTGCTAATCTAGCCTGATGAAAAAGAGCCAAATGGAGAGTTAGCAGCTAAAATCTTCAATGTCGAAAGAGCACAAGTGATATTAAAAACCTTGATGGCTTAACTTCTTTAAGTGGCCCAGTAGGCTATTTCAGTCTTCCAACACAATAATCTGACCCCTTCTAAATATAGTGCAGACAACAGTTATATAAATAAAATGTAATACAACTTAGCTTTCACTGGTTTCCTTGTAGGCTCTGTCATATATTTTGAACTTGGTTTTTAACCCTTTTCAACAAGTAAGACAGCAATAAATTGAGGATAATGTGTGAAATAAAGGGTGAAAGAAGTCAAATCACACCTTTTTCCTAGATTTCAGGGGAGATAATTAGTGTGCTAGGAATTAAGGGTTCACAATGACCCATGATGAGACCCAGATTATAAAACCTGTATAAACATGATTACAGTACAGTATATTCCACACACATGGCAACCAAGTAAACCAAGGACTCCAACAAGAGGCTTTTTGAGGTGTAATGTGTGATGTTCAATTTAGAACGGTATGACATTGAGGACATTTACAAGTTGAATTTTCAATTTCACCTTTAAAACAGCAAATTTATTTGTCTTTAAAAAATTAAAAAATCAACTAAAAAGTATTACTATTTCATTGTCACTAATATAAACAGTACGGAAGCACTGAGTCTTTGAGCACTTTAACTGCTCTTCAAGTATGTTAATTCAGTTCATAGATTATTCTTCTGCATTGGAAAAGCCACCAGGCTAGTATGCTCCAGCAAGGTCACGACTCCAAACTTAATGTCTTTGATATTAATATCCTGGTTGTGGCATACCAGTGTTGTTGACTTCACAAATCCATAAAAAACAAGTTGAGAATTCACTACTATTTGATCCAGTGACAAGTCTTGATTCCAGAGCAACGTAGCTGATGCAAACAAACTCCATTCTTCAGTGTAGCGAGCAGGAAGAGGAAGAGTTGGTCACACAAGCTGAAATTTCAAATGTTTGAGTAAAGGGGGAAGGAGGAGTCGACTGTTTAGAAGTGAGACACTTGGAAAAAGAGAGTATGGACAACTAAATCAGCAACAGTCAGCTCATTACAGTCAAAATAAAATAAAAAGCCATCAATCAGCTGTATTAAAAATTGCGGTGACTTCAAACAATACCACTTGAATCAGCTCAAAAGTAATAAAACTCTGAATAACAATTTCTTCTGTGGGGAAACAATGCAACGTTTTCCACATGTAAACAAATTCACTCAGAAAAAAAAAGTGTGCAGTTTTCCCAGACCCTCCTTCAACTATGCCCTATTCACCCTTACACTATGTGCTTGTGCCACAATTGCACTAAAGATAGCAATTCAATATCAAACATCCATCCTTTTCTCCTCTTATTCTCCGTTTCATTCTTCTTTAAACACATTTCAGAAAACGATAAAGTGACAAACCTCTGATTCAACCCTCCTGAGCATTTTGAGAAGCTGCTGAAGAGGAAGAAAAGGAAGGACTATAGAGATTAACCTTCCTGTATGGGTCATTGTCCTCCCTTTACACAACAGCCTCAAAACCTCTGTCCTTCATCATCAAATAAGCCTCTTCAAGCAGGTCATCTGGGGTGAAGAAGAAAGTGATTCAGATACTCTGAAATGGCATCCCAGTGCCTCCAGAGGAATGCAAGGAGGATAACGAGGAGCAGCGTAGAAAGTGTGCGGCTGCGTGTTTTCATTAATGGGACGACACAGTTAGCCACTGTGGACACAAACACCAAAAGGACTGCCATTACAGCCAGCAGTACATTGATTAGTTTTCCAAGAAGAGTCCGTGCTGTGGCGTTCTCCAAACCCTCAAGCTGCACCACCTGCTGTTGCTGCTGCTGCAGCTCCATCTTGGAGATACGCGTCTGACAGGCCTCCAGCGCCTCCTACAGGTCAGAGACAGAACAGTGAGTGAAGTTGCTCCGATGACAGAGCAGAATCATCAAGTATATTTTAGTGAAGCTTACCTGAATGTCCCTCGCTCTTTCGTAAGACTGGTAAGCAATCTTCTCCTCCA